GGGACATAGACACTTCGAGTTCAAGTTCAGTGACTTCGTGAGTGACAGGTGCTTTTTCCACTTGCTTCCCAGAGTGTGCATGCATGTATGTGTACATTTTGAGGGAGAGGTGTCCCCAGAGCTCCCCATTCTTCCCCAGTCTCTTGGTTGACCTGATTCCTTGCCCTTGAAGGATCTTTCTTTTTTTTTTTAAGATTTATTTATTTTATGTATGTGAGTACACTGTTGATGTCTTCAGACACACCAGAAGAGGGCATCAGATCTCATTACAGATGGTCGTGAGCCACCATGTGGTTGCTGGGAATTGAACTCAGGACCTCTGGAAGAGCAGACAGTGCTCTTAACCACTCTCAACTCCACTTGAAGGATCTTATCCACCCCAGCCACTGGCTTCCTCTGTCCCTGACATTCCCGTCAGACGTTTTAGAAAGAGCGGAGTCTCCCTTCCTTATCTTCATTCTTTCCTCTTTGCTCCTCCCTTGCTGTCTTGCACAGAATCTGCCACGCACAAGATCCTGCAGGCTCACAAACCCACAGGTCTCTGGGAGTCACTCTTATCCCCATTTCTGACCCAGTACAATTCTAACTTGCCAAGTAGCTGTGCCACCCACCAAATCCTCCCTGAGAGCCACAGTGGGCAGGGTCAAGAACTGGCCCCTCCCCAGTCTTGGCCATACCCCCTTCTGACATCATCTGCCACACCCAACCACTGGCTTTTGCCGGATCAGTACAGGGAGTCTGGCCTTGTAGTTCTTCACCTGTTGGACCCCAGCTCATTCATTTCTCAGAGTCCGGCTCAGGGATCACAGCTCTTTGCAAGGTTCTCTCTCTCTTTTATCACAGTCAGAATTAATGACCCCTCCTTTAAAAGATTAATTGGGTTTTTAATTCAATCACCTATTAGTTAATATGATTAGCAATGATTGGGTCATAGTTCTTTTGCCCAGACATTTGCAAAAGGAGGAGTCCTTTTAAAAATGACCCTTGATGTAAGGCAGTTATGGTTGAGTTTAAGGAGAATCATTTACTAAAGGAGCAAGTGCCTTCTGCATGAGCAGTGCACACATAAGCCCGAGCCAAAGGATGGGGAGGGAAGCAACTGCTGCTCTCTGCTGCTGAGTCCCTCGGTTCACTGTCCTGCCTCATAGCAAAGCAGCCTTTACCGGACTGACAGATTCTCTTAGCTTTGATCCAAGGAAGGGCATTCCCTCGAATGATGGGGGCTGCTGGGAAGGCAGATGCTGCGATATACCATGCCCCAGCCTGCCTGGCCCTCCTCCTGCCTCCTGCTGCATTCTCTCTTCTGCTATGTGAGTGAAGGGATTGACCAAGCCTACCTTTGCGTATCTTTACTTACTTTCACCTCTGCATTCATTGGCTCTCCCAGTGCTCACTGCTGAACAGTCACACCCAGGGGTTCCCTGGCTGAAGGCAAGCAAGTCTGGATCTCTACAGACCTTGTTCTAATGGAGACTGTGATGCAGTAGGTCTGAGAGTCTGTCTCTAAGAAATCCACCCAGTGGATCTGATGCTGCTGATCCATAGTGCTTAGGATATTTTGGTTTTTGTGTACTAATACTTTATGTATATGGGTGTTTTGCCTGTGTGTATGTCTGTATACTTTTATGTGCCTGGTGCCAGAAGAGGGTACTGGATACTCTGGACCTGGAGTTACAAACAGTTGTGAGCCTCCATGGGGGTGCTGGCAATTGAACCTAGGTTCTCTGGAAGAACAGACAGTGCTCTTAACCACTGAGCCACTCCTGCTGACCTAGAATTTATTTTATTCTATTTGATTTATTTAATGTCTGTGTATGGTGTGGAGGAAGTAGGCACGTGACACACGTGACGTCACATACATGTAGAGGTTAGTGGACAACTGTTGGGAGTCAGTTCTCACCTTCCTTGGGTCCTTGGGTTTGAACTCAGGTCTCCAGGAGTGCCAGCAGGCATCTTATCCTCTGAGCCATCCTGATGGCCCTGTCTACAATACTTTAAGAAGTGTGTGTGTGGGGGGGTCTCTGTTTGGGATATAAAGTAAATTTAAAAATTAATTTTAAATTAGTTTTGTTGGGTGTGAGCCCTTGGGAAGCAGAGGCAGACAGGTCTCTGTGAGTTCAAGGCCAGCTTGGTCTACAAAGCAAGTCCAGGGATTGTTACACAGAGAAAACCTGTCTTAAAAAAAAACAAAAAAGAAAAAAAAAGTTCAATTGCCACTGTTTGTCAGTGTCTCACCTAAGCTTTGAGCTTGGGACCACAAGTACAAACCAAGAGGGGATGAGGAGCGCTAACTAAAGCTTAACTATTGTTCAGGGTCCGCTCAGCCTCATACTAAACCCCTCCGTAGCTAATGCATTTCATCTGCAGGGCACTCTGGGTGAATTAGATCCACACTTTTGCTGCTCTTGTTTGCAGATGAAAACACTGGTCCTTAGGAAAGTCGGGGCTCTCCTAAGCGGGAGGGAGGGAGGGAGGGAGGCCTGCAGATGCACCTTGCCCAGGGCGATGCTGAGGCGGGCTTGTGAATGCTTCCTAATGAGCTGTGGAGCCCCCTGACTCCTCCAGGCTTCAGGAGGTGTCCTCCCTACACCTGAGATACGAGAGGAAATGCAGAGCTTATCTAAGAACTGACCCCCTGCCCATCTGCCAAGCATTCACAAAATTTCAAAGTACCTCTCTCTTAAGCTCCCGGACACTTCATAATATTTTGACATGGGATGCTGAGAGAGAGAGAGAGAGAGAGTTAGAGAGTGAGAGAGAGAGAGAGGGTGAGAGAGAGAGAGAGAGATAGAGATAAACAAGAAGAAAAAGAAGAAGAAGAAGAAGAAGAAGAAGAAGAAGAAGTAGTAGAAGAAGAAGAAGAAGAAACTGGAAATGCTTTGAAATATTTCTCTTCCTTGGCTTGTGGTTCTTTGACCATGTGACTGAGTAGAACTTGAGTCATAGCATCCCAGTTTAACATATGCAGTTACTATAGCAATTGAGGTTTCCTTAGTAACAGTTGCAAAAATAATCTGGCCCCAATTAATAATACATTTTAAAGCTCTTTCTACTCTACACTGAACAACCCAGTTCATCTGGCCAAACACCAGATGATTCAGGTGGTGCCGTCTGGACTGATTGAGATCCATTTGCAGGTGGTGAGTTGGGTTGGAAAGGGATGAGAAGAGAGCAAGCAGGTTGCTTCGGGCCTCACAGGAGTCCACTCAGGAAAGGTGACCAGCAGGCCAGGGCCAGTGGAGCCTCTAGGATTACCAGTGTGCCCGAAGGACCTTGTGTTTGAAGAAAAGGGAAAGTGGAGAGACTGGCTGGTACAAACAGATGAAACTGGAGCATGGGCCACAGCTCGTCCTGATGTGTTCTCCATGGCTCGACGTCTGTGTGTAAATTCAAAGGTCCTCCACGAGGGGACAGTCTGCCTCAGCAGCAGGAGGCAGGTCCTCAGAGATGCTTTTGTAGTAATGGTGCTGGCTGTGGGACCCTGCTGTGCCTTCTCACTAAAGTTTTAAGTCCATCGTAAGCGTTTGTCTGGGTGCTACTGGGCACACAGAGGAGCAGTCTATGGCTGTCAAACACTCTCTTTCCTTACACATGAGACTCAGCCCCTTGAAGCCTCTAAACAAAGCAGGCCAGCTAAGTGGCCAGAATCCCAGGGCCCAGCTAGGGCCCAGCTGCACACCTGAATAGTTTCTGCACATTCCAGCGGCAGACTCCAGTCTTAAGGAAGCAAGGGCTCCTCAGCGGGCCTGGAGATGGGTCTGGCCAGTTGGCTGAAGCCCTGGCTGTTCTCTCGCTGTGGGACCTGTACCATACCCTGGGTTTTCCTCAGCTGGCAGAGTGACCCAGAATTAAGATGTGAAGAGGGGGGTGGGTGGGCAGCTGCTCTCACTACCAGCTCATTTAGAGAATTGCCTTCTCCTTTCCTCTCAGGTTAGTAGGGAACACGGGTAAGTATAATGATACATAGGGGAATATTCTCCAATAATCTCCAACACCATACATTTCACGAGGGTTTGGCTTCTTGGCAACTTAAAGATGAACATTTGCTCTGCTATGAGCAGGGCAGCATATGGAGTTGGCTCTCCCCATTATCATTGTCTGCCGTTGGCCATCCTGTGGCTTCTGCGCTGCAGTGGTAAGGGAAGGAGCTGGTGCTGGCTCTGCTGTGTCCCTTGCTGTCCTCACTGCTTCAGGACCTGCACTGGCCTCTGCTATACTGCCTGTTGTCACATCTCAGTCTCTGAGAAAACACGGAGGGAGACCTGTTCTGCTTTCCAAAGCCCAGGTACTGTGCTAGGCTATGCAGTACAGGAGTGAGAAAGGACACTGGCAGTGAGCACTGTGAGGCTGGGGCTGTCCCACTCTCAGGGTGTCCCCTGAGAAGGGGATGATGAGAAATAGCAGCTGACTGAATGGAAAAGTGTCATCTCTGTTCCTGGGAGCTTGGGGGTCTAGGGAAGAGGAGAGGCAGGAAGGCAGCTGGGTGTCAGAGGGCACCAAACAGGGAATGGGAGACAGACAGAGATTGAGTAGAAAGCGGGGTCTGGCAGGGACATGAAAGAGAAGACAGAACAATGGGGACAGTGGCCAAGGTTCAGGGTAAAGTTTGTGGGTCAGGGGAGCTGGAGGAGCTGAGGGGAAGTCCTAGGAGGCGAGTCAAGTCAGTTGAGCAAGGGCCAGGCTCTGAAGGGCTTGTGCTGGCCAAATGAAGTTTCTTTAGATTGTACAGACAGTTGGGAGCCATTAAGCATTTTAAGCAAGGTCAAGCTCTGGGCAGATTGGTGTCTTGGCTGGGTACGGACAGTGGCACAGGGAGAGTGGACAGGGCACAGGATGTGACAGCAGGCCAGTAGATGGGCGGCTGACACTGAGGGAGGTTTGGGGGGATCTCATTCCTGCTCTGTTCCCTGATGGGCAGAACCAGTCTCCCAGCCTAGAAGTGAGCTTGAGACAGGCCCAGACTCTGTTACTCCTTCTCAGTTGCCCTCTTCCCTTCACAGTGACAAAGCTTCAGGTGAGCAAATCAAAGAGAACCCTCACACTGGTGGAGAACCGGCCAATTCAGCTGAACTGCTCCGTCAAGTCCCAGACCAGCCCAAACTCGCACTTTGCCGTGCTGTGGTATGTTCACAAACCCTCAGATGCGGACGGCAAGCTCATTCTCAAAACCACGCACAGTTCAGCCTTTGAGTATGGAACCTACGCCGAGGAGGAGGGCCTGAGAGGCCGGCTGCAGTTCGAGAGGCATGTGTCAGGGGGCCTGTTCAGCCTCACTGTGCAGAGAGCTGAGGTCAGCGACAGTGGTAGCTACTACTGCCATGTGGAGGAGTGGCTGCTGAGTCCCAACTATGCCTGGTACAAGCTGGCTGAGGAGGTTTCAGGGCGCACAGAGGTCACTGTGAAGCAGCCAGGTAAGAATGGAAGGTGTGGCCACCATTGGCCTGTGGGTTTCCTGCAAACTATGGCTTGGGGAGCTCTGTAGCCGTACCCACCACATGCATGTGCACGCGCGCATCATACTGTGGGTATGATTGTAGGTGCATGAGCTGTCAACTCTGGTGCCCTACAGACCTTCTACTGGACCTGCTATGGTCCTAATGCTGATAGGCTCAGGAGCGTCCTCACGTCTCTCGTGGGAGCCTCTCCAGTGAGCTTCTGAGGGCAGCTGAGGTCTCCAAAGTGCAGGTGACATCTAGGACACTGAGCTGCTCTGCGAGCATCAGTTCTGCTGTTGGCAGCCCTGGCTAGCTTTCTCCCTGGAATGCCAGCCCCCAGAACAATGCATGACAGACCTGCTATTTGATTCTAGTATGGAAAGGCTGAGCCCCTCACAGCCTCTGCTTTTAAGTTAACATGGCTTCTGAATTCTTGTAGAGTGGCCTTCACTGCACTGTCCACCCACCTTCCCTCATGTGTCCTGTGTGTATTGTAACCATCTGTGCTTCCTCAAGGGCCAACAGCACAGTCCTATCTGCATGTGGTCCCCTGCACCTGTGATGAGCCCCTCCTCCCATTCTCCTGTCCACATCCCATCCCCAAGACTTCACTCAGCACCACTTCCAGGAAGCCTGTTCTATTTCTTCCATATCCTTGTAGGGAGAGACCCTTATAAACTCAGTATGGTAGCTATTTTCATGTCTTCTACAGTACTTATAAGCATGGTCTCTATGGTTAGAGCTGTGTCTTTATGTCATCAGCCGCTGGCATGGCATCCTTAGTAAGTACTGGGTGCTGAAGTAATTCATGGTGACTTTTTTAAACCAACACAGGGCCTATGCCCTGCTTATGTCATCGTGGAACATACAAAGAAACTCCTTTATCTCCATCTTCTCAGAGAGGCATTCCCATGTCATTCTGACTTAAATAACATCCTGTCACTGGTTATTCCATTGCCTTTACAAAACATAGCCCCGCCCCCACATCCTGTCCATTTACCTATTCATATGTAAATAATTATGAATCACTTTTCATGTTTATACTTACAACCCACTTATCAGCTGCCGTGTGTTATTTATATATTCAAACACAAACACACTCACAATCACACACACTCACACATGCACACATGCATACACACACTCACATGCACACATACACACACACACACTCACACACACACAGACACACAGACACACAGACACACACACACACAGAGGTATATTTGTTGCCTATCTCTTACACTAGATGAAGCTCCTTCAGTGAGTACAGAGACTTCATTTCTTTGCCAGACTCCCAGCAAAGCCATGGGACTGGGGACAGAAATCTAGATGTGGCCGGACCCAGGCTGGATGCAAGGGCACCATTCCCTTCAATTGACTGTGTGTTCTAGGATCCCCCCGGCCACACAGTGACATTTTCTGATAACCGTTCCTCCTGCATAGAGCAGAAGGTCCACCTCTGAGGGGTTTCCTATGGCTGTCACCGTGACCGGGGTCCTGACTGCCTACCAGGCCACATTATGAACCTCAAGCTGCTCTCAACTCACCACGTGATCCAGGCAGGCCTTGACCTTGAGATCCCCCTGCCTCAGCCCCCAAGTAGGTGAGGTTGCCATCTGTGCTGCCTCAGGGCTTCTGATTGCTGAGGGCTGTGGTCTGGCCCGCCCATGCTCTCTGCCTTGCTCTGACTCTGCCTTCCACCCCAGTTTGTCTCCATTAGGATAATGCTGTTCTTGGTTCTCTGATCCCCCCTCCAAGGTCTCTTCCCTGCCCTCCAGTCTTCTTCCATTCTGCCTTTGGTTTGATGCCAGGTAGCTTTTTCTTGGAGGGGTTTTCCCCTCTGAGGGTGCTGTGGACTTAAGTGAGACAGTGCAAAAGGCCATAGGATCCCAGTCTCGAGCGTGGTGGCATCTCTCCTGTAGTGAATTTTAGCACAGAAAACTCACAAGATGCTCACTGTGACGGCTTTGGCTTTTTCAGTTGATTTTATGTTTTGCATCTCGTTTTTCTTCTGTTCCTTGTCCCCCTCCCCCTTTTTCCTGATGAGAAAGCACATATTACTGAACCTTTGCAGGCAGTGGGGAGGGGTCCACAATGAAACCCCTTCAGAGATAGTGCCAGAGTTAACATCTTACATGTATTGTTTGGCCAAACTGTTGAAAAATAGGTTTCTCTCTTCATTTTGTTTTTGGCTTTTTATTTGCAAGTGATCATCGATACGGTATGAAACATTCAGACAGCACTGGAGTGTAGCAAGAGCAAGTATGTCCCACAAGTCACTCAGGGATGTTGGCCCAGTGCTCTTTAACACTTACTTTAACATGATACTGTGTTAGCAGTGTCATGGCTACAGTGTTAGTATCTACTGGTCCAGAGAGGTTCACAGGGACTCCTTGAAGTCACAGGCATGCTGTCAGCAGGAGCTATGGTTCATGATGCTTGTTCCACAGAGGGAAACCTTGTCCATGGCTGTTTAGCTCTTCCAACCCCATCAGTTCTGTCTTGTCTTTGCTGATGTCACAGTGTTCCCTCTCCACCTCAAAAAGGAAGCCATTCAGAGGCACAGTGCTTACACATACTAAACTGTGTTTTTCCTTGGTAGTTCTTCTGTGATTCTGGTCTGCACAGTCCAGTTAATCATATGGTCAGACTTAAAAGTTTATCTTAGCCCAGGTCTGGTGGTGAGGGCCGTAATCCTTGGTCCTCAGAGAGCTGAGGAAGGGGATCATAAGTTCAAGGCTTGCCAGGCTACAGAAGCTCAAGGCTAGCCTGGGCAAGGTTTCACTAACCTTATCTCAAAACACAATTTTAAAAAGGTTGGTGATTGTACTACTTACTGTTCTACTGCTATGAACAGTCACTGTGACCAAGGCAATTTGTACAAGAAAGCATTTGATTAGGGGCTTGCTTCCAGGTTCAGAGGGTGAATCCATGACCATCAAGGTGGGGAGCATGGCAGCAGGCAGGCAGGGTGCTGGAGCAGTAGCTGAGAGTTCACATCTGATCCACAAACCCCAGGAAGTAGGGAGGGAGAGAGAGACAGAGACACAGAGACAGACAGACAGAGAATGGTATAGGCTTTTGAAACCCCAAAGCCTACCCCCAGTGACACAGCTCCTCCAGCAAGGCCACACCTCCTAATCCTTCTCAGATAGTTCCACCAACTGGGACCCAAGCATTCAATATATGAGCCTGTGAGGGCCTTTCTCATTCAAATCACCACAGTGATAGTCAGTAGTATAATGCATGCCTGGCATTTGCAAGACCTCGGCTTTACTCATGCTGGGAGAGGGGCTGGCACTCTGTCCTCGCCCGCCCCTTCTCCTGCTAGCTACCCCATCCATCAGACACACACTGCGGAGACTGTGTCATTAGTCTTTCGTTGCTCATGTTTTTCCTCCCCCAAACATCTCAGCCCCCAAGAATTCCGAACCAGAGACAGCTGCTGCTGAACACAAGGCTCCCACATGGCCAGGGATTCATCACACTCAGAGTATCCTATTTGAGAAGCATGTCTGAGGCATTCTGCTGTGCTCCAGGGGCGCCTGTTCGGCTCCCCTCTCTAGGGTGCTGCTCACTGTTTGCTGTCTTGCCACACTGTTTCTTTCCTCCCTGTTCAGACAGCCGCCTGAAGCTCAGCCAAGCCCAGGGGAGCCTGTCTATTCTGGAGACACGGCAGATCCAGCTGGAGTGTGTGGTCCTGAACCGCACCAGCATGGCCTCCCAGCTGCTGGTGGAGTGGTTCGTATGGAAGCCCAACCACCCAGAGCGGGAAGTAGTGGCCCACCTCAGCCGAGATGCTACCTTCCACTATGGTGAGCAGGCTGCCAAAAACAACCTGAAGGGACGGCTGCACTTGGAGAGCCCATCTTCTGGCGTGTACAGGCTCTTCATCCAGAATGTGGCAGTGCAGGACAGCGGGACCTACAGCTGCCGAGTGGAGGAGTGGCTGCCCAGCCCCAGTGGAGTGTGGTATAAACGGGCTGAGGACACAGCTGGACAGACGGCCGTCACAGTCATGCGACCTGGTAAGACCCCTAGCCTTTGGTGTTTCCACGCTAAGAATGTTTTGGACGCCTCTATTAGGCACTATCTCATCACAGTGACCAGAGACCTAACATGCAGCTTATGGGAAGAAGTGTTGACTTGACAGAGTGTGAGGCAGCAGGGCTGCGCTACATCCAGTAAGAAGCAGAGGGACGTGTACGCTGGTGCTTAGTGGCTTTCTCCTTCTCTGCCTTCTGCTCAGTCTAAGACCCCAGCCCATAGGGTGGTGCTGCTCACATCCCAGGTAAGTGGGCCGTCTCTGGATTCTTCTCTGACATGTTCAACAGTGTGGTTCCTAGGTGATTCCAAATATAGTCAAGAATAAGGTTTAACTATCACGGTCCTGAATATAATGAGTTTATTTAAGAAATTATTTGCAATTAAGCATATGAACATTTATATTACACATTTGTATTCTAAATTCTCTCAACTTGTTTGGCCTATGAATGGAAAATTATACATCTGGCTTTGTCCTCAGGTGATTAGATTTCTTAATTAGAATAAAAGCCAGCAATTAGTTATTCTAGGTCCCAAGAATATTTTCTTTTTAAAGCATGCATTCTGGTCGGAGCAGGTGGCTCCTGTGACAGAAGTCTTGAAGCAGTAGCTGTGTGTTGAGAAGTTATGCCGCTGGCTTTTCAGTGGAAAGGAAGCAATTGTTTAAGTAGACAGTGGCAGTACCTTTAGCCTCCACTCTGCTCCCGGTAGTTCCGATGGCACTAATGACTTTTCCATGCGGCCTTTTGTTCCTCTTGTCTCTATTGCTGTTTCTAAAGTGTGCAAATGCAGATAATTACTGGGTGCAATTATTGTTACATTTAACATATAATTAGGGCTAAGATGAGCAGAGTCCCGTGTCTCCTGCAGCATCACGGTACCATTGATTCTTATCACAGCAGACAGGACAGGGAGCGGAATTGAACTTGTGACCTGTCGGTGTGAATGCATTGCCTATTCACTCTCACAGTTCTTGTACTGTTGCAAGTTCTTCTCCTATGTCACCGAGTCTGACTTGAGCTGCTCTTGTCCTTGATGACTCGTTGTAGTCACAGCTGTGCTGTGTCCCATTCATCCACCTCTGTCTTGGGTCGATTGCCTTCACCTGTACTTACCCATAATGGAGGAGAACCTCTCCCCCGAGTTGTTTTCTGTGTATATAGTTGGCTGTCTTGCTGCTGCTGCTCTAAAGCTTGCCAGGAGACTGCCATTCTGTGGAAGTGCAGAGAAAGGCAGATGAACACGCTTGCCACAACTCCCACCCATTTGGTAGATTATGGGGGGAACTTCCCTAACACCCCACCTTCCATGGTCTGGGAGGAGAAAGACATTTATGGGGAACCAGCTAGGTCCCTGCCAGTTAAACTGATGTTTAGTCTTCCTAAAACACCCCAGTAGTCGATTTCTCTAAAAAGGGAAATGAATCCTGGAGGGAATGTCTACACAGCTGATGAAAGGAAACTGGGTGGGCGCAAGTTTCTGCCATCTTGCCACCTGTGTGATCCTGATGTGGCCCCAAGCTTGAGACCCTGTACATAGTCTAGATCCACCCTCCATCTTTCCTCCCTCCCAGCCTCCCTCTCGTGTTTATACACTAATTTAATTTATTTGTGGGGGTGGTGAGACAAGGGCTCACTATGTAGCCCTGGTTGTCCTGGAATTCTTAGATCAGGCTGGCCTTGAACTTACAGAGATCTACTTCCCTTTGCTTCCCAAGTGCTGGGACTAAAGGTGTATTTAAATTTTTAAATTTTATGTAGGTGAGGGGTGTGTGTGTGTGTGTGTTTACCACATGCCTGGTACCTACAGAGGTCAGCAGAAGTTATTGAATCACCTGGAAATGGAGTTAAGGGTGGTGGCAGGCTACTATTTAGGTGCTGGAAATGGAACCAGTCCTCTGCAAGATTAAGTGTTCCTAAGTTTGGAGCCATTTCTCCAGCACATTCCTTCCTCCTGCGAACCCAGGATGTCTGGCTTATTGACATGGGTTCTGGGACAGCTTAAACTCAGGCTGTCAGTTCAGTGTGACAAGCACTTTTACCTGTGGAGCCACCTTTCTATCTTGTTTTGTTTGTTCTGAGGAAATGAATGCACTCTTTCTCCCTTCTCTGTTCCTTGTCTCTCCCCAGACGCTGCCCTCCAGGTAGACACAGTGGTCCCCAATGCCACCGTGACCGAGAAGGCAGCTTTCCAACTAGACTGCAGCATCTTGTCTCGATCAAGCCAGGACTCCCGCTTTGCTGTGGCCTGGTACTCTCTAAGGACTAAAGGTGGAGGGAAAAGAGGCAGCCTTGGCATTGATGAGCAAGAGGAGGAGGAGGTGGTATTGGAAGAGGAGGACTCTGAAGATCCAACAGAGAGGACAGTCCTGCTGAGCGTGGGACCTGATGCTGTCTTTGGTCCCGAAGGCAGCCCTTGGGAGGGCAGGCTGCGCTTCCAGAGGCTCTCGCCCCTGCTGTACCGGCTCACAGTGCTTGAGGCAAGCCCCCAGGACACAGGCAACTATTCCTGCCATGTAGAGGAATGGCTGCCCAGCCCTCAGAAGGAATGGTACCGGCTGACGGAGGAGGAGTCTGCTCCCATTGGCATCCGGGTTCTGGACACAAGTGAGTTTCCCCAGTTACAGAAGAGGGGTGTCACCTTTGTCCCTGGGGTGTCTATAACGTAAATGCAGAGCTTGGTTGTGGGCTAATATAGTCTTCCTAACTTCAATAGGCATTTGTTAGCAGGGGTTGAGACGTAGAATTTGACACACTAACCCACATAGTTGACCTCAGTTACCCTTGCCTAAAAAATAGGGCTAGGAGTTAAAGATGCCACATGGCTCTTGTGATCTGCCTGAGTCCATTTCAGTAAGATTTCACTGTGCAAGTTTCTCACTTAGTATGCCTTTGTTATACATTAGAGTGCCAGGTCAGTCTGCTGGGAATTAGTAAGTGTTTCTGGACTTGCAGGAGGGAGAAAAGGGGTAAAGCCTGTTATTCATGCTTTCCCTCATGTCTCTGAGTCACTTTTATTTTGGATGCTGACTTAGGGGGCGACTGCAGTAGAATCTGCCTGGTTACTGGGACCAGCCTAGGAGGACAGAGCTGGAGGAGTTTAGAGGCAATAAGAGTAAGCTGTCCCCTCCGAATGGTCCCGAATTCAGTTTCTATCCTGTGAGGAACTTCACTCTGAACAGAGACTGGGTCTCTTTTGATTGGCCATCTGTCAAAATGCAGAGTAGATCAGGCAAAAAATGGTGTTTGCTCTAGTAGAATTGGCTCAGAATGCAGGCACCAAAGAAATCTCAAGTGTTCAACCTCTTTCCAATCGAGGCACACTACCTCATCATCTGCCGTGAGGGTTGGGCTGCTCAGCTCTCTTTCTGCCCGGACTACCGCCTCACTACCATGTTAAGTGAAATTGAAATTTTTATGGGTTGAAAGTGGTTTACCATCAGTAATTTAATATACGTTAGCAAACTGTAAGCGTAAACTGTGTGCTGACTTTTCGTCATTCTGATGGTGTGCCACTATACACTGGAAGGGAGAGTGGAGAAAGACTGAATGGAATCTGCATTCAGTGTCAGAAATGAGAGGGAGAGTGGTGAGGCCACACATGACCTGTGGACCCACACTGTAGACATCCGTAGTTAACTAAGCTTCACGGACACAGGGATCACTGAGAGGCGAAGGCTAATACATGAGCAAGCAGCGCTGACCTGCTGTCAGGGCCCCAGGCTTAATTCTCTTCCATACCTGTAAGTTCACCCTGTGGAGCCATACCTTTAAGTTCACCCTGTGGAGCCACAGACACTGGATACTGTCAGTGGTCCGCAAAAGAAGGTGAGTTGCTAATGTTCAGCAAGTGTCTTTTCTAGGACAACCACTCCCTGAAGCAGGCAGGAAAGGAATGTGCTAGATCCCCTGAGATGGAAGTCTAAGTAGAACTAGGCACAGAAGGACATGTCAGCTACCCGCTTACCATGTAGGAGGGTAAGAAGGAATCGGAGTGAGCTTCTTCACCACCCTAGACACCGTCACGTTCACAGTCAATAAGCTCAACTTGAATGTATGGCTTTCCCAGCAGACGTTATGGATCTCGGTGGGAATGGAGGCACTGCATCATTTGAACTTAAGAGTCATGAGGGTTGGAGTGCTGTGAGAAAAAGAACAAGGCAAAATCTCCCAGTCACTGGTGGCAGGGGAGAGCTAGGAGAGTGTCTGCGGTAGCTTGCTCAGGGCAGGTGAGCTCTGGGGAGCAGGGAGCAGGCGCAGAGTCCAGGCTCCACCTTCACCGTTCCTTGCTGCCTTCCAGGTTCCACCCTGCAGTCGCTCATCTGCTCCAACGATGCCCTCTTCTACTTTGTCTTCTTCTACCCTTTCCCCATCTTTGGCATCCTCATCATCACCATTCTGCTGGTGCGCTTCAAAAGCCGGAACTCCAGCAAGAACTCAGAGGGGAAGAACGGGGTGCCCCTGTTGTGGATCAAGGAGCCGCACCTCAACTACTCCCCGACTTGCCTGGAGCCTCCTGTGCTCAGCATCCACCCAGGAGCCATAGACTAAGGAGGCTGCCGGCACCCCAGCAGACGTTGCCCATGGCAGGGTCGGGTCAGGGGAGCCCTGTGGGCTTTTCCTCATTGCTTCGTGCTCTGTGATTGGACAGGCGACAGCACCCGAACTCTGCAGTTTCCGTGCAGGAACCAGTCAGACCTGAAACGTGTTGGAAGCTTCCGGTCACGGAGATGACTGCCTTCGGGCAGCGGTCCTGGTTAGCTATTCACACCGAGGTGTCGTGATGCCAACGTCCTAGGTTCCTAGTTTTTGGTTTTGGTAACTTAGTGCGTAGCTCCAGGTGCCGCATCTACTCGCCAGTCTATCTCATGGTCTCAGATCGGTGCTACGGGGTTTCCTGTTCTGTGTGATGTACTCTTTTAAGTCCCTTTGGTCCTCTCCATTTGGATCCCATAATGTTGTGGAAGAGTTTCTCTCACAACTGATAAGCAAGAGGAAGACGCCTTCATAGTAACAAGGAATCTCTTCCAAGACATTTTTGTTTTTGCACATTTGAAAATGCCACCCGTGGATCAAAATACACCCAAACATTTTTTTTTTTTTACTTTCTTAGCAAGACTTGAAAAATATGTATAGCGTGGGCCCAATTTGTATCTTATCTCTTCCCTCAGCCGTAGTCGTTGGAACCACTTTATAGTCAAGATGAAAGCATTGAATTTCGCTTCAAAGGACTGCACATGTGCAGAAGAAACCCTGCAGAACCCCATTAGGAGTAGATGGTGTCCAGCCAGCCAGTCTGTCAGGGAGGCAAAAAAGGCCTCAGTTTCATCCTTGCCAAAAAAATAGACAAGCCAACTTGGAGGATGGGTCAAGGGCTCCAGATGGCACCGGTTCCTAGGGTTGCCCTGAGCATTACCAACCTCTGTATTGATCAAAGGCAATGATTGGGGGTGGGGGGGGGTGTTGGCTTGACTTTGACAACCTCAGTCTCTTGACTTACCCCTGAGCAGGTAGCTTTTTTCTGTAGGTGCTTTGCCAAATTATCAAGGGGAAATGTCTAGTGAGGCCGGAAAGGCCCTGAGTGGAGGGAACTGTATGACCGAAGTGGCCCTCGAGCACAGGCCCAGTGGAGCGTGCCGAGCTGTCACACTGAGCTTAGCAGAGTGGAGGAGTAGGAGGGGGTCTTAGAGCCTGACGTTGAGAGGCTGGAGGAATACTTACCCTCTGTCTTCCTTCCAGTGAGCCTTTCCTCGGTGCGGGCTTCCTTATCCATCACTGACTGCTCTTCCTGAATCTCAGTGCTGTAGGGATATTGTCCTAGGATAGGACCAGGCACAGCCCTTTGCAATTCTTGTTGTCCCCCTACTTTCAACAGACAACTGAGAACAGGAGTTGTCACCTTCCTGTGCATGAGCGTGCACACGTGTGTGTGTGTGTACGTGTGTGTGCGTGTGTGTGTACACACGAGAGACAGAGGCAGAGAGACAGAGAGACAGAGAGAGTGTGTGTTTAGGTTGTTTGGTTATACTGGGGGCTTTTAATTTTCAGCCCACAAATCCAGACTCCACTGCCTCCACTCTGTTAAGCCAGATGCTTCGTTGCCTCGGAGCCTCATCAATTGCAAATCCTCCCATTTGCCTTTTGCTCACTCTGCTCATCTTGTGAACCCTCTTTCCCCTCTCCTTCAGCAGCCACACCTTCTCTGGGGAATTGGCATCCTGAGTCCCAAGATAGAGCCCCTGGGAAAAAGCAACCCAAGATAGTAGAAGTAAATCTAGTGAGTGCTTTCTGCCATGTCTGGTCCCAAGAATAAACAGACAACGCAGAGGCTGCAGGACTCCCAGGCCATTGGGCCAGATCATTATGGATCCTTCCAAGTGGTCTGCTAGGTGTGGGCCGTGTGCTGAGCAGAGGCAAGATGCGCCCTGCAGCCCGACAATCCTTCCTCCTCCTGGCCCTCTGTTCTCTGAGAAGTGTCCAGGCAGCGCCACCTTAATCCCTCCTGTGGCTGCCCTGCTGACTCTCAGCTTTGCTGCACGAACACATCAGAGGGACCAAATTGGCTCAGTCACGAAGAAAGAATGTCTTTTGTTCTGTTCCTTCGTTTCATGGGTGTGGGCTCCTGGTGGGTAATTGCTGACTCCTGAGTTTTAGGCTGAGTCAGGGAGGGAAGATTGACACCAGACGGCTGGCCTGGATTAAGATTTCAGATTGGCTCTGTAGCAGCAGAAAACGCAAGTTAATATGCGAAGCAACCGCAGGACGTTTGCAAGGAGCAAAAAAAATCTAAGTATTTTAACAACCGATTTTTGCGTTTATTTTCTGTGGGGCTGGGGTATGCAATCAAAGGTTAAACTCTGAGCTTTCTATGAAAACAAAACAAAAAAACCCAAAAAACAAAAACAACAACAACAACAAAAAAAAAAACAAAAAAAAAAAAAAAGAGAAAGAAAAACCCAAAACCCTCAGGACCCTCTGTGGCTGGTTCTATGGACATGTGTTAGCAGATAAATGGTGATGGCGCCCTCCAGTGGCTAGAAGGCTTCACTGCATATTGTCTGTTGGGGCTTTCTTTGGTCCTCTGAGTTCAGAGTGTTCAGTAGAGACTCCTGACATCTGTCCTCTCCAGTGTCACATTTAATGAGACTCTCCACTGTGCTAGGCACGTCCCAGGACACTGTATGACCACAGCCTCTCTCATCGGGGTGTTTCTGTAGCAAGTTTTCATATTTGTTTCAAACAATGGTGTCTCTGCGTTCATGTTGAAGACAGATGGGATAAGAAGACTATCCGTGCATGAAGTAGAGAACCGTTGGGTGGGTTCGTTTTTTTAAAAGGAGAAGCTATTTGTAAGCCGCTGCACAAAGACATTTTATATACACTGCAGAGACCTGTAGTAAATTATGTTGACAATACACTGTTTACATTTTCTGGAGTCTGATGTCCTCCTGCCCCTCACTGAGCCAGCTGCCTCCTGCTGCAGGACAGCGGGTGCTCGGTGGGTGGGCTGGAGTTCTGCTCTTGGCACTGATGTACCAGAGTTGAGTTTTACAAGCTGTAGTTTTTCTATGCATGCCCTCACCCAGCCTAAATTATGTTTTTTTTTGTACAAATGATAAAAAAAAAACTTTCTCAAGACACTTTTGCCACATGCTGAAATGTATCCCAACTCTACACCTACCCGGTTAAGAGGGCAGCCCTGGAGCTGTGACACAGGCGCCCCTGGGGTCCCACTAGGCAGACTGGGAAGCTGACATTACGGTGGGTTATGTGACTATTGTTTCTTTGGTGGGAAATGTAGGATTAGAGGACCCCAGTGAGAACAGCCTTCCAGCTCACTAGGGCCTCTGCAGCGAGACCTGACCGTCCTTCCCCAGCCCCATCAATGTTCACGAGTGGAAGTGGACCACAGGCCTCCCTGGCTAGGCATAAGGATAGGAGCTGGACAGCCCCAGGCAGTGAGACTTGGACACCAGTTACTGCTGTTAGTGGCTGCCAGATGCCAGCTGAGAAGCATTGGAGTATTGCAGGCCCCAGAAGTGCGCACACTTAGTTGGGTCTTCGCAGTTCATAGACATGCAGAGGAGGTCACCCCTCCCTGCTCCTCCCCTTTGTCTCCTCCCTTTCCTCCCCTCCCCTCCCTTCCACCAATCATTTCCAGCCTGCCTCCCCCAGGCTCAGCCCGTCCGCTTTCCCCGGGTCCCAGCCCTGTTTGCTGTGTTCTCCTTATCACCTTCCTGCACCTGCTCACTCGGCCACAAGTTAAACTGCAGCTGCTTATCCCCTAGGTGCCCACAGTGGTTCCGTGATAAGTCTTAAATGCGTCATTTTTGCTTATGAGGCTGTTTATTTCATGGTACCCACAAAATGGCTTAGGTACTTAACAGAATGGCTCCCTGTTAAGTCTTACGCGTTATTTTTGCATGATTCCCGCCACCCCAAATGCCTTATTTCTACCAGGAGTTACATTTTAAAAAGGAAGTAGAGTATTGGAGTCAGGTTACCCCTATTAAGCCCTTGGTTAAGTGACCATGTACCTGCCTATGAGGAGTAGGATGAAAGTGACCGTCTGTGTGTTTGGGTTTAAGGGCTGTGTCTTGTCACTGTGTTCCAGATCCCTATGCTTTATAGTTCCAAGTGTTTGGTAAAACTAAAGCCCAGGGCAACAGGAAGTGGCCTGCCACAAAGTGTCATCCAAGCTTCATGGCCATCGTTTCTTAACCTCCATCCACAGTTAGCCACAGTGCTGAGAAGGGAAAGCTGGACGACACAACGCCAGTCACAGGATGAACGCACGCCAGCAATCCTTTTAGAAAGGGACGTAGAGGCAGTTCTCAGCATGTGAAGGGAGCTCATCGGCTCATGGGACATCGGAAACCACTTTGGATTCATGAAGTCTGCTAGGCAGGGCCCATTGGCACATCCATCTAGAGATGCGTGATGGGAACATGGCCTCTCCCAATGAAAGAGCTGGCTCTGCTCACTGGTCAGAGAGTACAGTCACAGGTCTAACAAATCCACCCTCAGCCAGTAGTACATGGAGACCGTGACCCAAGGCACTTCCCCCTACCGGGTGATGGGGCAGTCCTTTCTGCAGCTTGCCTCTGCCTGTGCTGACAGCTCTTGCGGCTCATTCCCAGAACCCCATTCATCTCAGTCCAGTCCTGTGTGGGCCAGCCAAAGGGGAGCCTTTAGACTTGGCCCCTCACTGTGTCTCAGGTAAGCCATTTATCTTCTCAAGCCAGCTTGCTCATTGTAAAGTCAGAGGCAACAATCCTGTTACATCCAGCCAGGTAACATGCTTATACCAAGCACCCCCTAACCCCAAACACGGTCATTGTTCTTTTCTAGCCTCTGAGGCAAAGTTCCCACAGCTGCCTGGTGCACGTAGTGTGGTCTCATCTGCCTTTCTGACTGTCAAGGAAAGGGGAGAGAATTGATTTTCTCACTTTCTGAGCCACACCCTGCACCTGCCTGGTTCCCAGGATCTATAGGTGATGTAAAGTAGGCTTCATGGGGGCAGGGCTCCAGTGAATTCCCAGGAACACACCGTCAGAAAGACCTGTAA